CCCCCCCCCCTTTTGTTCCCCTAAAACAAAGTAGTCTCTTGTCGTCCTCCACTTCCCTTTGGTGCCACTTAGCTGCCCCCTTTGTGCCCCCCTTAGGAAATCCAGCTTCAATACCTCGTCATACCACACCTCGGCGACACTTAGCGAGGGAAGGATCAATGGCCGTCGACCGTCATAACCGCTGTGTCGGGTCTTGTCTTTCTGCTCTCTCTCTCTCTCTCTCTCTCTCTCTCTCTCTCTCTCTCTCTCTCTCTCTCTCTTCTCTCTCTCTCTCTTCTCTCTTCTATTCTTGCTCTTATCTCCTTCTAGCCCTCCTCCCTTTCTCTCCTCTCTTCTCCTCCTCCTCTTTCTCTTCTCTCCTCTCTCCTCTCTCTCTCTCTCTCTCTCTCTCTCTCTCTCTCTCTCTCTCTCTCTCTCTCTCTCTCTCTCGTTCTCGCTTTTTTTTCATTTATTTCATTACACTTCTTCCCCCTTGCTCTTATTCTCCGTTCTAGCCTCCCTACCTCTCTCCCTCTGTCTCTCTCTCGCTCTCCCTCTCTCTCTCTCTCTCTCTCTCTCTCTCTCTCTCTCTCTCTCTCTCTCTCTCTCTCTCTCTCTCTCTCTCTCTCTCTCTCTCTCTCTCTTTCTCGCCCTCGCTCTCCCTGTCTCTTCTTTCTTCCTCTCTCTCTCTCTCTCTCTCTCTCTCTCTCTCTCTCTCTCTCTCTCTCTCTCTCTCTCTCTCTCTCTCTCTCTCTCTCTCTCTCTCTCTCTCTCTCTTTCTCTCGTGGATGGAAGGTAAGATTAAGGTAACGATAAGAAAGGCGCGAAAAATATAAGAGGGAACAGGGAAAAATGAAGGTAAAAGGGAAAAAGGAGACTCGGAGATGAGAGAGAAGAGAGAGACAAACGTAAGAGGGAAGAGGGGGAGAAGAATGTAAAATGGGAAGAGGGAGAGACGAAGCCGAGAAGGAACAGGACGACAAACGTAAATGAGAAGAGGGAAAGACGAAGATAAAGAGAAACATATATAAGAAGAAAGAGGGACACGCACAGGTAAGAGGGAAGACACGAAGGTAAAATGTAAACGAAAGAGAAAACGAAGGAAAGAGTAGGGAAGACACGAAGGTAAAATTAAAAAATGAAAAAGAAACGAAGGAAAGAGTAGGGAAGACACGAAGGTAAAATGAAAACGAGAGAGAAAGAGGAAGAGAAGGAAAGAAGGAAAAGGGGGAAGAACGAAGGTAAAATGAAAACGAAAGAGAAAGAGGAAGAGAAGGAAAGAGGAAAAGGGGGGAGAACGAAGGTAAAATGAAAACGAGAGAGAAAGAGGAAGAGAAGGAAAGAAGGAAAAGGGGGAAGGACGAAGAGATGGGGAGAGAGGCTTCGAGGGGGCGGTAATTCAGATAAGATGCCCCCAACGCCAGTCCCATTGATTGACAGAGTCACGCAAGGGAGAACCAACTTCTCCCATCCATATATCTTTCCCCTCTCCCCCTCCTCCCGTCCCCCTTTGCTTCTCCCCCTCTCCCTTCCCCCTCCTTGTCTCCCCCTCTCCCTTCCCCCTCCTTGCTTCTCCTTTTCCCACTTTCCTCTCCTTGCTTCTCCCCCTCTCCCTTTCCCTCCTTGCCTCCCCTCCTCTTTCATCTCCCTGCTTCTCCCCCTCCTCGCGTCCCCTATTTGCTTTTCCCCTCTCCTTTCCCCCTTCTTGCTTTTCTCCCTCTCTCTTTCCCCTCCTCGCCTCTCCCCTCTCGCTTCGCCCTCCTTGCCTCTCCCTTCCCCCTACTTGCCCATCTCCCTCCTTGCCTCCCCTTCTTCTCCATGCCTCTCCCCCTCTTTCCTCTCCCTCCCCTCCTTACCTTTCCCTACCTTTGATTCTCCTTACCTTTCCTACCTTTGATTCTCCCCTACTTACCTACCAGACAACCCCCTCCCCTCCCCTTCTTACCTTCCCTTCCCTCAATTAATTCTCATCCCCTCTCCCTCTACCTATATCATTTATCTATTCATTAACCAGCTTTATTTGCAGTCTCCCTTCTCTCTCTAATTGTAATGTTAACGTTCATCCCTTTCTTGTTTTCCCTTTTCTTTTTTTCCTTTGGTAGTTATAATTACTTTTTACATTAAATATATAAATGGGCGTTGATGGGGACGTGAATTTTCTGATGGGAGATTTGGTCGATTTAATCATTCATACCTGTTCTATTTTTATCATAACTGATCTCTCTCCTCTCCGTTATTCCTTCCATTTTGTTAATGTTTACTGAATCTGATATTTGCTCGTCAGGCCTTCCTGGCTATTTGGCACACCCACGCATGTGTATTTATCTATCTATCTATCTATACACACACATACACTCACACTCACACACAAATGTGCAAATATACATTATATGAGTGAGTGTGTGTGGTGTGTGTGTGTAGATAGATAGATAGATACACAGCTTCCTAACCTCACCCACATATAACAATCAACCCCGAGGCACCATACAACAAACACGAAACCAAGCAAACAAGGGAAAAAACCACAAAAAATTACCAAACCAATACGCAAAAAGATAAGAAAAAAAATCACATATCCCCCCCCCGCCCCAACCCCCAATCCTCCACAAACTAAAAACCAAACACAAACAAAAAATTAACCAAACCAACACACACACCACCAACAACCACACACACACACACACACCACACACACACAACACACAACACACGCAACACACACACACAAAAATAATAAATAAAAAATAAAAAAATAACCCCCATCCCGCCTAACCCCCCCCCCCCATCCTCCGCGCGATCTAAGGGCCCAAGACCGCCAAACGCAACGCCATCAGCAGGGGGGGGGGGGGGGAGAAGTTTTTAATCCTCTTAAATATCGGCCGATTCCCAAGACGGTTATGTGTGGGGGGGTTGGGGGTTGGGGGTTGGGAGGGATGGGGGGATGGGGAAGGAGGGAGGAAATGAGATGCAGGAAGGGTAGAAGATGGTGGAGGAAGATGAGGAGAAGAAGAAAGAAGAGACGAGAAGAAGGAGGAGAAGATGAAGAAGAGGAAGAGGAGTGAAGGAGAAGAGGGATGAAGAAGAGGAACAGAAGCATGAACAAGTGGAGGAGGTGGAGGTGAAACGAAGAACGAGAAAAAAAAAAAAATAGAATACACAAAAAAGAAGACAAAAAAATTCAAGAACAGGAAGAAAAGACAAAAAGACAAAAAATACAGACAAACAAGACGACAAGGAGCGACAACGTGAGGCGAACCGACGGGAATTCACACAGGAAAGGGACGTCACAGATAAGACGTCGGAGATGTCTAGACTTCATCTCAGGACTTTATCTCTAGACTTTAACTCTGACTCCTCGTCTGGACCTCATATATGGACCTCGTCTGGACTTCATTTACTTAATCCTCGTGTGGACTTCATATCAGGACCCCTCGTCTGGACCTCATATATGGACTCGTTATCTGGACTTCATCTCTGGACTCCTCCTCTGGACTTCTCGTCTGGATATCTCTTTACTCCTCGTCTGGACTTCATCTCAGGACTCCTTATCTGGACTTCATCTCAGGACTCCTCGTCTGGACTTCATCTGTGGACTCCTCGTGGTGGACTTCATCTCAGGACCCTCGTCTGGACTTCATCTCAGGACTCCTTATCTGGACTCCTCGTCTGGTCTTCATCTCTGGACTTGTGACTGGAGAACACGCGCGTGTCAAAGGAACAGGGACGGTCAGTCAATCAGTCAGTTGTTTATTCTAATTAAATGTCAGTTAGGCAGTTAATTAGGTCTCGTGACATGTGGATTGAGTAATCATTTAGTTAGTCCTTATATTTCGTCAGTCAGTTAGTCAGTCGTTAGTCTATCCTTTATCACATTTCTATTAATCAAACACTTAATTCCTTTCTCCCTTCCTCCTTTAATTTTCATCTACTGTATCCTCATTCCCCGTTCTATTCACCTTACCCCTTCCCCTCTCTTCTTGCTCCTTTTCTTCTTCCTCTATCTCCATTTTCATCAACTGCATCGTTAATTCTCCCCCTCCTTCATTCTGACCCCACTTTTATTCCTCCCCATTTCCCATTTCATCAACCATATCTTTATTCCCGTTCCATCCCTACCTCCCCTTTACTCCCTTCCTTTTCTCTATCTCCTCCTCTCTCCCTATTCCTGATTCCAACCCTAACCCCCACCCCTCCTGTACCCTTCCCTTCCCCCTCCCCCACACACACCCTTACCCTTCTTCCTTCTCT